TTTTTGCAAAAATTTGTAGGAAAAGTAACGGAAGTACAGTAACGATGTTCCATCATTACATCCATGAGAAAAACAAAGATATTTTATTTGACGATATCACAAACCATAGAGAAAATATATATATTAAAAAAAACCGAAAATTTGTGAGTTTTGACAGAAATCGCATAGCTGCTGATCGCTAATTTTTCACGGAAAAAATATGCAAAATTCTTCGCAGAAGTACCAGGAAATCACAGCTAAGCAAAAAAAAAAAAATTTCCTATGTTTCTGGCAATGAACTGAATGCCACTAAATTAGCTAAGAGAACTGAAACGTTAGCACAAATAGCAGAACGACATCAACAAAATAACATAACTGCGCAACAAAGCTTAGTTACTGATAGTCTAAAAAACTGAGTCAAACGAGTTTTCATGATTTGAAACTTGCAACTAGCCTGAATGAGCCGATCCACAAATCCATTTTGATGGCACAATGGCAACTCCCCTCTTATATTTGCTTCTAGTTAGCTTCCCCAGCAATTTTTAAGAAAAACAAGACCGCCAATACAATACACGTTTCTAGGATTCTTTTAGACGGAAGATGGAGATGCTTTATAAAGAAAGATATTGACGACATATGTAACCTAGGCTGCAACGCACCAGGCCTGCCAGTGCAATCATGCATTTTTGCGATAAGCTTGCAGACCAAAAACAACAGGAATGATTTCTACACTCTAAAAATTAGATTCATACTAAGTGTGTTTTGGCATCTTCCCGCATGCAGGGGAAAAGACGTCGGCTGGGATGAAGGTGTTGCATTACTGGATCGCATGCACCTCTAGGGTGTATGATTATCAGTTATTAGTCTTTTCCATAAAGCTCGGTCGTTTCCCCGGTGAATGCTCGTTCACTGAAAAATACAAACTTGAAGGAAGTCGGAAGGGGATCATGAAATCTGTAAAATGCTTTATCGCGACCCTAAAGTTAACCTGCCATACTAGTAGCGTGCCCTGCATGTGTGTGGGTATGTACAAAGCTTCTAGTTATATACATATATATTTATGATTATATACAAAACTGAGTTATACAGTGTAAAATCAGATAAGAACAACAATATAAAAATAAATGCGGCGAGGTTCTGGGAGCTTCGGCTCCCCAGAATAGGGTTAAGAAGGAAGTAGTGGCTCAGGGTTAGTTCTGGATTCCGAAGTTGGGAAGGGGTGCTTTCCTACCCAAGGGATCAGAGATTACTAAGACTGCAAAACTTTAAAGGGGTAGGATGTCCAAAAGTTGAACCAAGGACGAGGCTGTTCCTTGTGCTATTTCTAACAAAAAACTATAAATCATTATTTTACATGTCATATAACAGCACTCGCTTTTGAGTTTGCTATAAAATTGAGTATTTGTCATGTCTGCGTGCGGGGAATTTCACTTTCCAACTGAATTAAGACCACACATGAATATCCTTGCAAATTTTCAGCTTCGCAGCTTGCTTTGTAAGCGAAATTGCCACTTCGCCAGAAATATCTTTCAAGTGCTCTAAGTCATGATGCAAGTGCAAATCGAAACTCAGTTTAGGTATAAGATTTTCCATATTGAATAATGTGGTGAACGAATCAAAGAAGAGTTCCTTATAAACGCTCACCACGAATTACAGATTGAATCTATTGAAGCACTGTTGAGCGGACTGCCCCCGGTCGCTGTTGATAAGTCGAAACTCTGTCGTCGAGTCAAAATCGAAGTTAAGTCGATGTCGATGCTCAATTTAATGGCGTGGCCGTATGCGCGATATAAGCGTACGCTACAGCTGAATTTGAAATCTTCAGCTCGCATATGCGCAGTGAATATCCTTGCAAAATTTCAGCTTTCTATCTTGTCGTGAACGTATGCGCGGTGCGAGCATGCGCGACAGCTGAATTCGAAATCTTCAGCTCGTACATGCGCAGTGAATATCCTCGCAAAGTTTCAGCCTTCTGTGTTGTCGATGCTGCTTCTCACGACGTGACCGTATGCGCGGTATAAG